TTAATGTCAAGACATTTTTTTCTTACCAGGAGTAATTGTTTGCATGGGTCCACATAAATCAGTATGGATTATTTCCAACACTTCCCTAGTTTTTGACTTCGACATTTATGGGAATGGTTTTTGTGTTAATTTACATTTGGCACATACTTCACAAGTTTTCCTTACACCACAATCCACAATATTAAAATTTTTATCCAGCTTTCCAAATTGCATGGAACTAATATCTCTGTGTCCAAATAATTTGTGATAAATGTGTTGACAATGGTCCATCGTGCACGTAACAACGTTTGCTTTCTCTGTACGTTTACAACGCAGTTGATATAAATTGTTGACCAAATCTGCTAATCCAGTTTCCATGTCCTTTTCATTGCTTATTATGCATTTGTTGCCAGAAAATGTAAAAGTATAACCCCTCGTTGACAATCTCTTTGCCGACAGTAAATTTTCTTTAAACGATGGAATGTACAAAACATCCCTAACAGTTATGACAGCTTCAGCACCTTCGCTATTCAACATCAATATTCTACAAACACCTTTACCATTTGAATAAACAGCATCACCATTTGCTACAGTCACCTTTTCACACCATGTTGTATCAAGTTCCACAAATTGATCTTTTTCGCTGCAAATATGGCACGTCGCTCCGGAATCAACAACCCATTCACCTTCAGCACTGTTCATGATATTACATGCATTCTCCACTTCTAAACTATCATGTGCAATTTTTGGTTTATGTGGACTCCTTGTTTTTTAACTTCCAACAATTCTTACGAATGTGTACAACACCGCGGCAATGGTGGCAAATAATTTTCTTTTTCCAACCAACAGTCTTATTTGTAACATTTAAAACAGTCTTCACTCGCTTGCCTTTTCATTAATATATCATGCTCTTCCAACAATTTATTTTCAACAAGGGTCATTTAAAGATTAGTTTCATCTCTTACCTCAGCAGTTATTAGAGTATCATATGTAGCGGGCAGGCTACTCAAAAGCATAGATATAATCCATGACTCTGACAAGTTTTCACCCAAAGACTGTAGTTTGAAAACATAAACTTCATTTTTGTTATGTGGGAATCCATATCTTCCCCAGGCTGCAACTTGAGTTCACAAATATTCCTCATAAGTTTCACCTTATTGCTTAGTGACGACTTTTCATGATACGATTTAACTGTATCCCAGGCTGCTTTTGCATGTTCGCAATTTGCAATGCGATGCACTTCACTTTCAACAGCCAATCCAATCAAAATTGTTGCCTCAGTGTCACGCTCTTTCCAATACCCAAAAATCCAGTAAAAGAGAGTCAAGTGAGAGAGCAAGTTTGACAGTTGATCAACAACAAACTTACTGGAGTTTACTGAAAGAATTTTATTCAGTAAGTTTTTGCAAACTCAGCCATTTTGATATCAGCTGTTTTATGACCAAACACAAAAATGATTCAAAACATTTTTTTAATTTGCAAAGTTCAATTTGAAGTTAAGTTGTATAAAAAGTACAGAAAATGGAAGAAAAATCGTAAGTAATGCAAAGTTTCATTAAATTAGAAACTAATTCCTTATATATTTTTAGGCAAGTTCCAGATAGAGGGCAATGTATTGATGCAGGAAGCTTAAAGGTTCCCAAGGAACATACCAAATCAATTTTTCTTTTATTATTCATTTTATTTTTAATATTAAATGCAATACAAATAACTGTGTTCGTCCTTTGTTTGTTTTTTATTTTGGCGCAAATCAAATGTTTTCTTGAATCAGCTGTTTATTTGCTAAATCTTACTAAATGTTGTCTGTTTACTTTTTTCAGTATTATCGCAAAAGAGAGTAAAAACGGCTTTCTCTCTGAACTAGAACTTACTGGAAAAGTAACCAGACACACCTATTTATGTACAGTGAATATGTAATATGGCGGACTAGATAATGAAGGAATAAACAAAAGAGAGAATGAGAACATAAATGCGTATGCGTGTATGCGTATTAATGTATACATATAAACTATAACAATGTAGCCGCATCTGTTATTATTCTAATTACTTCAGGTATTATTGCTAGAGGATTGCCAAGCTTATCCAATGTACAATTGCAAATACCAACATTATTTATTTCTATCAATCTGTTATAAACATATTTTTAATAATTTTTATAAGAATGCACATTGTAATTGACTACATTTTAATAATAATACTACTTACGAAATGGAATGGAAATATTACAAAAACATCTGTAAAAATAAAAAAGTTTCTTAAGTAGAGATTTCAAACTTTGCGACAGTTATTTATTTTGATATTCGATACCTATATATTGAAGCTAGTGATATTCGGTGAAAGCTTCATATCGAAAACGCGATGGCCGAAGGTGCCCCAGTATCCCCTACTCGTTTGGGCTAATGGAATTTCTACGAATGAAATTAATTATAATAATAAAAATCATTGCAAACATTCTTACCTGTTTCTATATGTACGCCAAGGTCTATATAAGGACGGCAGATATGATTTTTTATTCGAAATCAAATATTTTGACAACAAATTTATATATCAGGTGGCCTTAAAAACCTAATGTATGGGCCTTGCTGTTATTTTCACATTTTAAAACGAAATTTAAATTCAGCTTCGAAGATTCGAAATATATTTTCTACAATTTTGGACATTTATTTAGAAAATACAAAAATGTCTGCTACTTTATGTAGAATATTTCGAGAAGCAAATAAATCTTTCAAACGACTACATTCATATTGTCAAACACGATGGGTTGAGCAGCATGATTGCGTACAAATCTAAAAGGATATATGGAAGTGATAGTAGCGAAAGATCCCCGACCATTTAATCCACTTGATGCGATTGTAGTATATGACGAAAATCAATTTCTAAACATAAATATTTTGTTATAAATATACTGGTAACCATAGCATTAGCTGAAAGAAGTTTTTCTACCCCATGACTGTTAAAAAAGTATCTGAAAAATCAAATGCAAAGCCCACGCTCTTATGTCTATACATAAATCCGAAGTAGAGTGAACTAAAAAATCTATAAATAGAAGATTTGATTTGATAGAAGACTCCGATTGGTAGTTTTGTTGAAATCGGTTCAGATTTAAATACAGCTCCCATATATAGTTTCGTCCGATTTTAACTAAATACTGCAACAAACACGCCATGTTTGTCAGATTGGCACGACATTTTGCACAACGGACAGAATTGAGCATAGAATCACATAATTGCGGTTTTTAGAAATGCAGATATAGCAAATATATATTTTCGACCGACTTCATGTTAACTGGCCTCCAAATAATCAACATTTGACCGATTGAGTTTAGTTTAAGTCGATTTAGATAATTTTTTTCGGATTGTAAAAAAACGACGATAAGATATACAGTATTCTCCGCTTAATTACCAGTTATTTTCAGTACAAACCCTTACAAAATTGCACGTCTAATTACCCCCTTTTAATTACCCATTTCATTTTTTTCCCCTTAAATAACCTACCCCAAAGTAACCGTACCTTTAAATATGTTCCATGTAATTACCCAATGTATTTTTTCAATCTGGCAACTTCACTTAAAATGGCTTACATTTGCTAGTGCACTTGCCACACATGTGCACATAAAATCTATTGTTCTGAAAATTTTCGTGAAATGTCGCCCAGAAATAAATCTTTGTCTATCAAACTAAAGCTCCAGTTAATATCTCAAGCAAAAAAGGAAGAAAGAACAAAACACCAGTGTCCACCGATATTTACCCTCGCTTGGTAATTAACCGGGGTCCACGGCTAATTACCCTAGCGAGGTATTTAACCGCGCACGCTTAATTACCTTCCACGGATAATTAATCAAAAATCTTGACATTTTCACTGAGGTAATTAAACGGGGTTTACTGTACAATAAAAAGGAATTAAGAAAAAAATTTTTGTGACTCAAATAATGAATATAAAATATTGTCTTTAGTTTTTTTCATTTCGCAATCTAGGACATGGATCTCAGATTTGGAATTCCTTGAGTGGACACGAGCTCAATACAGAATGTTTTCTGATAAAATATTTAGAAAATTTTCAAAAATTGACATATGTTAGCTTTTTCCCAAAATCGGTACACCCGTTATTAAGTTAAATGCTTTGTAACTAACTATTTTTCCTTTTATATATAGATATCAAATAATACCAATAAGTCACTGAGTGACTTATTTCTTACCCACTGGAAATAAACATTACCAAATTGCTGACAATACCACAGGCCCTTTAAGTACCAAAAATCTTTCTATACTACGCAAATATCAAATCAGATGGTATTATAATATGGTTTTTATATACCTAATCTTTGGTAAATATCTATGAACTTATAAAAAGAACACATAACATATATCCTAAAAAAATTAGAACCAATTGTACCAATTTGCTACTCAATGGGAACACAAAGAACCAAATGAATGTCAATCCGTTTTCTGGGTAAACAAGTGTAATATAAAAAAGTCAACATTATATTAACTTATATTACAATATTACGTAACTTCATCACATATGTCAAGATAAATGTTCAAACACTTTCTCTTATACTCAATAATAGAAAAGATAATCTTACGAAGGCTCAAAGGCAACAAACGTCCTTATGAGGAACGCACGTACCTACTTTCTGTTATTTCAGAAACATCGCAAAGGGATTCAACCGATATAAACCTAATATATCGTACAAGATCATAGGTAATAGCCTCAAATGTTTACAGATGTTTATAGACAATATTATTGTTGTATTTATACCTTTGCGAAATACTCATTTAATTTAAATAAAACCTTGATTTTAATAATGAAAATTGTGATTTTATTTTTAACTATGAATACGACAAACTCTTATTTGATACATTAAATAAATAATTTATTTAATTTCTTATTATATACAATGAAATAATTCAATGGGATGTAATTATTAAGAGAGCTTAAACAATATCAATTAAAGTGAACGTTGTTGAGTTTAAAGATTTGAAATTATGTTCTTACAATCAACAAATATAAGTGATAGATTAAATGATATTTCCCGTATGTTTGCTTATATTTTGTAATATACTTTATTCATTGTTTGTTATTTAAGTGCCTGCAGTTGGTTCTTGTCTAATTTCAGATTTAAGCTTCACAAACTCTTTGGCGACTTCATCGTTATTGCGTTGAGAGAGTATGCGCAAAATGGTCCAACCGGTCTCATCCATATGGATTCTTCTCTGCAATGGCAACCAACTGGAAAGAGAACCCTTTTCCAAGATATCTTTAAGCGGAATAACAGCCACACCAACCAAGCGATCATCTCTGGCAAAGCAGTAGTCTTTGACGCAAATATGTAATTCGAAAAAATCTAGTTGTTCCTCGGTACCAATAGTAAAATTAAATGACTCGTTGTATTTTGGAGACCAGTTATTTGACTTGGATTTAGTAGCAAATTTGCGTTTTTTATCCTGTAAGTTTGGACCAATTAAATTTATTTCAACAAAAGGTCGAAACATTCCTGATGGTATATTCCATTTAAGATCGTTGGCGGCAACAACTTTAACATTTACTTTGAATTCGCCGGTGCCTGGATGAGAATACAAATCAATTTGTACTGATATTTCACCAACACTTTCTTCCTCTGGGTCTGGATCTAGAATTTGACATGAAATAAACGTTTTTATTAGAGTGTCTGTCATTTGTGTGTAAAGACTCAGAGCATAGCGCAAACTTTGTAATTCGGGAGACTTTTCGAGGAACGTTTTCTTCAAACCATTTCCGCCTGCGTGGAAGTATTGTTTTATAGTGTCTAAGGCCACGTCGAGAACTGCACATTGTTTTGGTGACAGATTTTTTTCGACTTCCTTTGAAATGTCCATGACACCGCTCAAAGCACTTTTGACGTCCTGTTTTCCAGCCATGTGAGACTTAAATAGGCGGCCCATATCTTCAATTTTCGCATTAGATGCAAGGTTTTTAGCATTGTCTGTAAGATGTTTGAACATCATTGTTTTGTCGGTCATTGGAGGTAGGACAATGGTTTTCTCCAATGTGCGCATTACGATTTTCCATAGCTCCTTCAGAAGTCGCTTCAAAACAGTTTTTTCACAAGACTGGGCATATAGTGTAAGGGATCCATCCAAAAGATCCATTAGTGGCCGCAAAACTTCATCGGCCTCCACAGCGACAACGTTGCTATTAATTTTATCGCCGGTTGAATTTCCTTTAACTGCTAGCAACAAATCGCCTAGTTCTCGTAATGACTGCGTAATACGAGGCTCAAGACTAATGGCAAATTGCGATGCTAATTCATCAAGCGCAGAATTAAGGTTCTGCTGCAACTCTTTAAGAATGTTGGCGGCATCTTCCTCGAGTTTATCGCCACCCATTGATTCGAACATCTTTTCCAATTGCACACGCAGTTGTTGAATATTATTCATAAGAATACATGCAACCCTTTCATCTTTTGTATGTTCGGGAAATTCTTTTTTAACAATATCAGCATAAGCAATTAACACCTTCACGATAGTTTTAGCAAAGCGTCTCATGTAACGTTTCCATATTTCTGGATCAGGACACTCGAGCTTGCTAACAACATCGAAGCATTGTGTTAGTTGTGTAAATACGTCTACTACCGAATTTGAAAAAAGAGAATGCTCGCTACTTCTTTGGAATCCATCTTTTTTATCGCGATTAAAGGCACCGTGAAGATATTCTAGCGAAACGTCGTCATTTTCATTAAGCCATTGCATGACGAATGGCTCGAACCACGCTGGGTATTCTGGTACGGCACCTTTATGAGGGGGAACCTCTTTAACGTAGTTGCTATACAACCATTTAACTCGAAAATGTAAGTTCATATAGGCGGACGATTTGCATAATCGATGTTGTTCATGTTCTTCCAATGCGTACTTCATATCTACTGCGAATAAACTCCACATTGTTGCAGCGGAAAGTTGACCTATATTTAGTTCTTGTGGAAATTGATTCAAAACAGCTCCGTAACTATTTTTATCTTCGTCAATCACTGAGACTATCAGCGCTATTAATTTGTGCCAGAAATCAACACTATCCAATTTTGGTCCATGGTCGTCAGATTCACGCTTCGCCTCGTTTGGATCCACCTGAAATTCCCTGTTGTAAAGTTCGTAGCAGTTCTCGAAAAGAAATTGGTAAGTGGATCTAAGACAAGCTTTAACGCAATCTTTAACGACTGTGCTTGCTCGTGGTGGACTCGAAAGTTCCTGTACTTTCATCCGGAAGAATGTAATACTAGTTAGTAAGTCCACTGTAGATTTCAGATCCATTAGTTTTTCGGGGCTAGAAGCGGGGAAATTATTTCGGTACATTGACAAGTCGATTCGCAAAGAGTTATGCAATTGATCCAACAATTTGACAAATTTCTCCTTTCCGAAATTGCTTGCAGCAAATCGATCACTAGCAGAAACCGCGGACGAAGCTGTTGTATGCGCGTAATATGCATTTATATTTGCTAATAGTGTACTCATAACTGCTGGCACCCCGGGACACAAATATTTGGCTGATAGGCAATGAAAGTGCGTCATAGCTTGGTATATGTTTTCTATGCCGTAACGCATAGCAAACTCGTCGACTATTTCCTCAGGAATTTCATCAAAATACAATTTCCAAGCCTCGTCACCCTTTTGCTGCGGCAATTTAACCATGCCATTGTTTTGCTCACAAAGATAATGGAACAGATTTTCATGTAGGCATGTGTATTGCACGTGATAAGGGGCAACTTTTTCTTCGCCTTTTATTTCAACTGATATGTGCAGACGAATAGCTCCGGAAACTGCGGATTTGTCAGTGCGTTTTTCTAAATTATACCACACGTCCATCTCACCAGACAGTGTACGGACTTCAATTATAGTTTGACCTAAGAAATCATCGGACTCCCTAGTAAGTTTTTGTCTCAGTTTTGATTTAAGATCATTATCTTCATCCCATACACGGACTTTAATTCGATCAGAGGAATTATGACACTCAAAGTGGAATTTTTCATTCCAAACTGGGTTTAATTCTTGTGGCATTGTACGTGTGCGTTTCTTTACCTTACTAACTTGAACGGTCACGTATGGATCACTGGTACCGCTTTTATCCTTCGCTATTAAGCCTTGAGCACATATCACTGTAATGGCTATTTTGGCGGACCATTTACTGGTACCATCCAATACGCTCTGTTTCATTGCTTTCATATGACCTGTATGACTTTTTTCCTCTATGTTAAAAACAGCACGAATTAACTCAAATATTTCAGGCTTTTCTTCCTCGCGCTGTTTCATACGCTCCTTCATGGCAGTTATTATAGAATGTGCTTTATCTTCTGCTCCGTGTTTCGAACTTTTCTCGGCAGCTCTTTGTAGACAGTCGGCATTCAAAAGATCTTTACATTTCTCGTGACACTTTACGCCACACTCAGTGCAACGAACACCCTGTCGAGCTATTCCCCATAATAAACCTTCACACTCATAACAGTATGTTGGGGAGGTTGCTGTCCAAAGAACAAAATTATGAGGGGTTGTTGAAGAAATTGGATATATTAGCGCCTGTAGAGCTTTTTTGTACACATGCATTTTCAACTCTTCATCATTTAATGTGGCCCTTGGCACAGCAGAAGTAAGGCCAGCATTGCGTTTTATAGCTGCCATCGTTATTTCAGATACAAGTGGTATTGATTTTCGTCGTGGTCTTATATCTGGCATGCTGTCAATGTTGCTGTAGAAAGGGTTGTCTCCAGGGTGCCCATTGATTCGCATTCCTACCGAACCAGGACCGCTTCCATTGTTAAGCTGCATTATTATTTTGTTATAAGCCCAATGCCAACGCTTAATGGCTGTTATTTCCGGTTTTCTCTTCGAAATTTGCATATGTCCGCTTACAACTTCTTCTGTCTCACCGCGCATTAACTTTTTCTTTCCCGACATATTTTTTGTGGCAATTTGCAGGTCATTCATTGGGAACTCATCATCTTCGTCGTTCATAACGATATTGCTAGATTTTCGACTTAGTGATTTCGAAGGCGAACCAACCGTATCATGTAAACCAATAGACGACATTTCATCTTCCTCATCCTCCTCCAATATAATGCTGTCCTGTTTTTTCATATGTTGGTGTCCATATTGTTGGTTGGACATGGTTGTTGTAGGTTCATGCATTTCTCCCATCTGTATCGCGCCAGTCATTGTTGTTTTTGCCTGCTGTTGTTGATTGTGATTAGAACTTTTAACACTACCGTTTGAACTTTCTTCATAATTGCCACTGCCATCACTAGGGCATAAATCGTCAACGTAGTTCTCAGTATTTTCGTTCGAGTGTTGCTGCAGATATTCAGGTTCTTCTGGCACATGAGGTAAAGATTTTCGCTTTGTAGGAGCAATTTTATGAGATTCTTGGTTCTCCGTATTTTTAATGGTATTATATTCATCATCTGCCTCAAAATAATCATCTTGGTAATCATAACCTCCATTAGCGTGTTCATAATAAGCATTTGTAGACACAGGTATTGTCGACGATTGTGCTGTGTGCTGGACATCCATATAGTAATCATCCTGTCCATTATCGATGTCGTAACTCGGCGTACGCTTTAGCTGAAGAGATTTGCAAGGTATAACGTCTTCGCTGTCATCGTAAATCTCTGCAGGTTGTTTTATTAAAACTCCCGATTTACCATTGATGATGGGCAGTTTTTTGCCAGTGGATCCAGCTGTTGGCACAGTCGGCAATAGTTTAACTTGCTGATTTATAGATTTCGGGGGCTGATTACCGTTAGCATATTGAGTACTGTCATTATCGACAATATTCATTTGTTGTTGCGATGTTGTGATTATTTCAGGTTGACTTGTGTAACCATTTATATAATTTTTTTCATTCGTGTGAACTGCATGCGAAGATGAATATGTTGTTGTAGAAGATGAATATATTTGGCCTGATTGTGGTTGTTGCTTTAAATTTTGTGTATTATCCCTAGCATCAGATACTACACTACCATCTTGCGAATTTGGAGCACTCGTTGATTGCATGTTCTTTTGGACCTTCGTACTAGCTATAGTTGCACCTTGGTTAAGCACTTGAGTCGCAGTTTGCATAGCCACTGCAGCTTTTCCAAATAGGGAACCGAACATTCCGCCACCGCCACCACTTGATTTCGAGGTCGTATTTGCAGGAGCTGGTTTTGATACATGTGATGTAATGCTTGTCAATGAAGGTAGAATAGAACTGGTAGCACTTTTAGCACTTGATGTGGATGTGGCACTCGCCACAATATCTGACTTTAGTGGCGTGGAACTAGTTACGAATTTCGATTCGTTGGCATAACCACTCGGAGCTGTAACATAATCGTACTCATTATAATCATTTGCAGTAGTACAATGAGTACTGTCGGCAAAAGTTGAATATTCAAAATATGAATTATCAACGACATTTGCCATTTTCATGTCATCATGGGGATAATCGTAACTATTCGTTACCTGACAGTACTCATTTTCTTGACTTGTTACATGTATACCATCATAGTCTGAACTAATAGACGTATCTTCATTCATTGCCGAGACGACATTAAATGCATTTGCTTCTTCTGTGTAATTATTGTTTATGATAAACCCATTCGTAAAATTATTATTGTTGTACATTTCCTCGTTACACGTTGTCTCGTTTATTAATGATGAGGTGTTGTAATTTTCTTTTGTAATCAGATGGTCGTATGAATCAGCTTGTACAGGCTTAGACAGTATATCATTTGAAATGGTGATCGAAGACGATATGGCGTTGGTATTTGTGGTCTGGGTGGATGTTACAGGGGGAGCTGATGTAGATTTCGTGGCAGCCGCTAATAAACTGCCAACGTTAGGCACCAGCTTGGAAGCTAATCCAAACCCAAATCCTTTTTTTGATGTTGTAGACTGTTGCGAATCACTGCTGCTGGCATTGTCGGTCGCCAGCACATTGTCCAGTCCCCCTTTTAAGCTCTGAGATAGTCCACCAAACATGCTTGAGGCTTTACTCACCGCGGAAGCAGCAGTAGCATTTGAAGCAGCAGCCGCATTTGAAGTGACGGAATTTACTGTCGGTGGTTTATAGTATCCTCCACTAATGGTAGATTCACTACTGCCAATAGAACTCGTACTATATAAAGATTTTTTAGTATCGTCTGAGTAATTAGAGGACGTAGAAACCACAATAGTCGAAGTAGATATGACCTGAGTACCCTGTACATCTAATACACTGGTGGTAGCCGTCGTGGTTGGGACACTATTATTGGTACTTGTGGTAGTTAAAATAGTTTTAGATTCGCTGGTAGAGATTGCGGTCGTTGTAGTGCTTGATGTGTCGATAATCAGTGATGTAAGATCGACATTAAAACTGTTATAGAAACTATCATCGAAATCGACCTTTGGTAGCCCAGTATCCGTAGTGTATGAATATGTAGAGCCGATTTCGCTGGCGTTCGAAACTGGTTCTGATGTTGTTGTTAGTTTTTCATTTTCTGGAAAATCATCCCTTTCTTTTTTTGTGTCTCCTGGAGATAATGTTGTCTCAATGCTCGTTGTATTTTCTCCAGAATTTATTAGTGAAAATGTACTAAAATAATCTGCAAAATCGTTTTCATTACCCACGTCTTTTACGGTAGTATTTAGATCGGCCGAAGTTATGGCGTCAGTATCTGTTATTTTATATGTGTTGAAGTAGTCATTTGTATCGCTTAGGGAAGATGTAAAAAGGAAATCAGTTATATATGCTGGTAATTCCTTTGTATCCGTAACGGTTGAATCGAAAGATAAAGCTGGAGAGATCGATGGAATCTTTTTCAAGTTATCAGCTTCCGAATATTTAGATTGCATAGTTTCGGTATTGGTCAAGGTGGTGAAAGAGTATGAGGATGTTGGTTCATCGGCATTTGTTTGGTTTGAATCAGATGTTTTAACCTCTGCAACATCACTATCAGAGTCTCCTAAGAAATTTGAATTTTTCGGTAGGGAATATTTCGTTGATAGTGGTGATTCGGTAAGCTGTGGCTTTACTGAATCGGATACTGTGGTAGCTGTAGTTGCGGTCAAACTAAACTCTTTTGTAGAATTTAAATAATCTTCGAAGGTATCACTGTATAACTTTAAATATGAAGGTGGCTCCCAAGAACGTTCTTCTAATATACTAGCTACAGTGGTTGGGGTAGAACTTAAATAATCTGACGATGGTAACGTTTTGTATTTCATGGGTGATGATACAGTTACCGTTGTAAGGCTTGACGTTGTGGTGGACGAACACGTGTAAGAGGCAAGATCTACATCGCTACAACTAAAACTATCACTTTGCAATATTTTGAAACTACTGCGTCTGTCGGCATTAAATGTTGTATAATCATCAAAAGGCTTACTGTATGTACTATTCACAGATTCAGCGTCTTTTGTTGATGCGGAAGTCGATGTAATATCCGGAAACATTATGGTTGATGATGACAATGTGGAATATTCTACATGATCTACATTATGATATGAGATAGGAACGGAATGAGAAATTTCAGAGGATGTACTTTTATCGACGCCGTTATTGTATATGAAATCGATTGTATCCGCGTATTTCGATTGGGATATTGTCAACGATTCCGTACGTGGGGCATCTGATGTTGGCTGGGATTTGTTAATATATGTTGGTTCTTTTTCAATAGAAGAATATTTCGTCCGAGATGGTAAATCTATAGCTGATATTGTGCTGACGGATGTAGTTGATGTTAATGGATCGAACTTTTCTGAATCAAACTTATATGATGTATCTGGTAAGATGGATGCATCTGATATCATAGCAGACGATCGGATATTTTCAGGTAGATCCGGGCGAAGGTGATCCATGGACGGTGATGTGGGCGCTAAGACTGATTCATTTACGAAATCGTCAGATAGTCCTTCATCAACATGTTCACTGTCACACGTTGGTCTGAAATCATCTGCAAACTTATCATAGTAGCTGCTGCCTATTTCACTGTCGTAAAAATTGTTGTTTTGATTAAAGTTATTATCGTAATTACCCCTATAGTTGGTGTTAAACACAAGGCGCTTGCTATTATTCTCAATATTATCGACTGAAATGTTACTTGATAGCGCTGTTTGGTCTAATGATGAAATTTGGTTTAAGTATGAGGGTGATGAAACATCATTCTGAGCGATTGGCAAATATGGTTTAGGTGCATTTGAGCTACTAATCAGTAAATTATCTTTCTTAGAATCTAGTATACTTGGGGAATTCGTTAGCAAACCAATCGTTGAGGATTTTTGCGCCGCAGTGGGTGATTGAGGCAATTGTTTGCTTTTGCCTCTACTCAATGTTTGAGGCGTATTGGGTAATTTCTTTGGCAATTTTCCATACGATGGGACAGATGGTTCAAATGCTGATGTTCCTGTTGTCGATATGTCACTTATATACTTTATATTGTCGGATGAGACGATCGGAGATGAAGAGGACAATAAAAGTGTTGTAGGAGCAGCCATGGGTACAGAAGATAAGCCATCTGCAATGCTGGCTTTTACAGTTGTATAGGAACGAGATTTCAAATCATTAGTGGAATCAGTATTGCTGTTGACGGTGTATCCGCTGTTGGTATATGAGTATGAAGAGACATCGAAAGAGTTAGGATGTTTTGATGTTGTTAGTCCATAATCCATTGCACTAGAGTATGTCCCAGATGCGATTGATTTCGTAGAATGTTCAGATTTTTTTAAAAGGTGTTGTGGAATACGTGTTTCACCGCTAGCTATAACCGATGCAGTGGTCATTGCAAGAATAATTGATTGGCGGCGTTTTTGTAAATCTTGCAATTTCTGTTCATAAGCCGATGTTGTCGCATTCGATATTGAATCACTGTATGATGGTATTTTATTACTGTCGCTAAAGCTATAATCCCCATAGCTCATCGTCGACTGCATTTGCATCGCAGTATGAGGACGTGGTTCCATCATGTATTGATCGTAATACGTACTCGAATCGGCGTAATCCGTTGCTCTGCTACTCGAACGACTTCGTGTAACGTCACTAGTATAGTATTTGTTGTATGGCATGTTGAGTGTTGTTGTTGAAAGCGTGCCCATGCTATCTTGAAGACTAGAATGATTTTTATATAATGACGTCACTGCAGCCGTTGAGGTAGCCATTGGCATCATGCAGGAATTTTCTTCAAAATATGGATTTAGGGTAGCACTGCTTTCCCTCGTGTGGCTATAGTTGTCGTACCACATTCTAAAGCTGTATCAATACCCTTAATTTTGTAAGAATTTTAGATCCTGTTTTTCACTATCTGCTCGATCTTCAACCTCATGTGCATTAATTTCTTCTGCAGAAACAACTAATTTGCTAAAAAGTATTAAAATACACAATTATAAAAATATTTATACCATTTATCTCTATGATAAGAAATATAATACACAAAGCTAAGTAAAGTCTTTTCATAAAATTAGTTATTACAAAATATTGACATTTATACCTTTTCCACAGTGGTCGACATTCGTTTGAGCGCATTAAATGCATCATATTTTTGATATTTTACTATGAAAACACATTGGTCTGTTTCCGTACTTGGTCTGTTTCCGTACTTCAAGAATCTACTTTTTTTGCTAGGGTAACATTTTTTTATTATGATATCGTAAAAATATTAAAAATTAGTTGGTTCTTGCAATAAGGGAACGATGGTCATTATATAATTAAAAAAAATAATTTTTTTAAGGTGTTGAATATCAAATTGAAACCATTTTTAACATTTCTTTAAATAAATAAAATTAATATTTAACACGATGGACATGATATTATGCTGACAGTATTTATGCTCATATCTGACCAAGATTCCTTAACAGCATATTTAAGGCAATTTACACCTCTGCCACAGAAATCTTCTATAAGTGGAATGGACAATTTAAACCCCCTGTGTTAAAAAAATCGTTACAATGTATTCGTACTATAACAATCTGGTCCATCTGAATACAACGTATTCTAAAATTTTATCATTTATGTGCCCAAGCCAATATTGGCTTGGACATTAATTTAGTCCATCCATCTGTTGTAACAGATAGCTGCAAATGTTTCTTAATTTTTTGTATCCTTCCGAATTCGTTCTTTATCTCTCAAACTGTAAATGATTTATTAATTTTGCAATTTATTTGATAAAAGAGAACGATTCAAAAAACTTCATTACATGGACTATGCCAAAAGCTTAAAATTGACAGTATATCACATACTCAAATCATAAACAACACTACATGAGCTACTCCAAAGGCTTAAAATTAACAGTATTTAAACGATATAAATTCATAAATTCAAATTAAAACATACGAATAACATGGTACAATTATAAAAGGTAACAGCAAATCCCATCTGATTTGATTCCAACGTAATACTAGTGCCAATATGCATTTGACAAATTATGTTTTTAAAAATCACCCACCAGGAAAATTGGGAGCGTATACAATTTTAAATTTTTTATTATTAAATGTGCTTTCGTATTCAATTTACTCAATCTGCTGCTGGGAAAGTTGGAGGAAGCAAATCTTTCTTCATGCAATTCCCTGCATTTTCATATGTGTTACACATATAAGTGGCATTGGCTCAATTATAAGAAAAGATGTGGAAGCGATAGAAAAATAAATTTGATAGATTTTCATTTGTTTTTCAAATTTTATTTTGAGGATTCGAAAATATTTCATTTTCAAAATAAATATAATTTGTTTGTTTGTTTACACTTTTCTGTCCAATGACGTTGACACTAGTACAACTTACAACAACAAATTTCCATGTGGTTGTTGTATCGTTTGTTGTACAACAGCACCTGCTCTACCTTCTATTATTTACCATGTATTCGTACATAAAAATATGTTAAACAAAGCCTATTATAAATCAGTTATTAATATTAAACAAAATATACACATTAAAATCCATGATCAATTGCATATTGAAGTAACATTTTAACGAAACACTGAATATTTTAAGAACCTGTGGCGTACTATTGAACACCCGAGTAACTTGAATATGAGTATTCCTCACAGACCTACTAAATAAAAATAGTTCTACCACTAAGGAAGTTGTTTGGGTTTCATACAAACGAAATACCAAGAAACTCTTTGACATAAGGAGAAATGTCATCTCAATATCAATATATCATTGGCCTTTAGGCTTTTTTTACAAAATAAAATATAAAATAAATAAATATGATCACGCAACTTAAGTACAAACACATAACGCATTGCTCTATAGAATAAAAGCCTAAGTTTGCGCAGGACAAAATCACAGCTGCAATCTCAACACAATACATAAAGTGAGGCATAATCAGTGCATGCACTACCTACATCCTTATATTTTTCGGCAAGGCAACGTTCAAACAGTATAGCTTTCGTAAAATAATGTTTACCTTGGACACTAACACCAAACCACTATCAAGCAACAATCCAAGACAGTTCGTGGAGCTTACAGCATCTATAGGCGAACTATCGATAGAAACATTTATTGAATTCGCTCGCATGTTGCATTGGTAGAAAACCACGTAACTAATATATTAACAGTGAAATCAATTGAGGATTGCAGCACATCCATGTACACATATTCTCCTTTAAATAATATTTGTATATCATCTGCAAACGAAAATGGCATACAACTCCTACTATTAATACAACTGAACATATCATTAACATATATTACAAACAACAGGAGACCAAGAACGGACCCCTGAGGCACACCACTACTTACAGGCAACGTTCTCTAAAAACAATTCTTACAACAAACATATTGCTTTCTGCCAAAGAAATATGAAAATATTTGATTGCATGCTGACGACGAAAAATTGAAGAAACTATGTAATTTATCGACCAATATGGAGTGACTCAAATTAAAATTAGTTTTTTTACATGATTTTATATTTTTAAATGAACTACGCTCAAACGATTTTCCTGGCAAAATATGCCCTATTTTTAGTTATTTCAAAATTATTTCGATAACTTAAATAAATTCAGCATTTTGTTTAAAAAATTAAATAATAATAATGTGTTTTCATAATAAAATTTTAATTATGTGCGCCCAAATAAATGTCGACCACTGTATAATTCCAACTTACCAATCGTCCATTCGGACGTATCCCCTTTCAGTAAATATATCAGTTTAAATTATAGTAAACCCTGACTAATAGCATAATGGTAGAAAAACTTATTGTGAAACTGATCATGTTGTTCACGTAAATATACAACTAAAATAATTAGTGATGTGATAATAGTAGATTCAAAAAAGATAATAAAACAAAACTAAATCATAATTAGTTATTAAACTAATTACTTTTTTTGAGTTTTTGCCTGTTATGGCGAAGATTATTGTATGATCTTATTTAATTAAAAGTCAGTGAAATTATACCTTACATATGATAGCTGTGTCTGTTTACTCAATATTTTAAGGAATTTATATGAAATTACGCAAAATCTTACTGGATGTCGTCTACTTACTTTGCTCAGTATTATTCCAAAAGAGAATAAAAACGGCTTGCTCTCGGAAATAGAACTAACTTAGCAAATGCTACTAGAAATGTAGCCAGACACAAATAATAACTCAATAAGTTATTTTGTAAGGGTAAGAGAGATACGTTTTCTTCAACCCAAGGTGTATTTATATAAGGTGTAAGTGACAATCCGTTTTTACTTTTTTGTAAAATTTAAATTTTGGCAAGTGTTTAAAATTAATTTTGTGATCCGTTATTTACTTTATGTAGAGCAGTTCAATTACAAAGACCTTAAAAGACGGGATTTATCCGAACATTATGTCAGGTTCAACTCAAATGGGGTTTTCTTACTGTGACGACCAATGTTCAATTAACTCTCAGAGTGAAGTCTATATTTTTGACATTGTTCAATACCTTGAAATAATGAAAATAAATGGACTCCTTACTCAGCCTACCTGAGTCCCAGAACACAGAAAATATTATAAATAATTGGAGAATACACCCAGAAGTCTATTGTTAAAGAAGTGAAAAGTACTGTATTCTTTTCGGTTATAGCGGACGAAACTACGGATATGTATCAATATGTATAAGATTTTTAAAAAGATTAAAAAAACATACAATTTTATAATAAATATTTTCGTAAGTAGAAACTGAAGTGGATCTTTGGACCACTATGTGGAAAACAAAAGTACAGCTACAATCTAATCCACCTGATGCGAATGTAGAATGTGACGAAAATCTATTTCTAAATATAAATATATTGCCACAAATCTTAATAACGATACCGAATGCTGTGGTTACAGAATCAGCTGAAGGAAGTTTATCAAATACACTATAATCGAATAAATCGGAAGCGAATACTGATATATATATAAGACTTGAATTGTAATACAGATTATTTTTAATAATCAATACATAAAAGTTAATGAATGTATATATTATTGTGTTTGAATACATTTTCACGATTAGTATTCTTTCTATAGATTATCATTTATATTTTCTAATAAACATATACGGATTTAATATGTTTACAAATGATCTATATATTAAAATAAAACATTGTTTATATTATATTTAAGGAATGTAAGAATGTTTGCTTTTTTCATTTCATATCAGCGATCTATCTAAGAATAATGTTGTTTTTGTAACATAATTAATTGTTGTAATTCATGTAGGGGAGAGTGGGGCACCTTTGAACACCATTTTGCTTTCAAGCCTTATAATTTTTTTTATTTTATAATTTTTGGTTTCTTATAAATTTTAACTAATAGGTACATATGTAACCTTTAAAATGAATATACATATGACATACTATAAGCTTGATAAATATATTTTATTACTGTTTTAATGGACGAACTCAAAGTGTTCAAAACTGCCCCCCCAAGGGGGCAGCATTGAACAGGTGTTGACATTTTTAAAGACATGGTTTTTTGCAGTGTTTATGTTCAAATATGTATGTATTTTATTCAGAAATGCATTATTTCATTAAAAAATATATAAAAAATGTTCAAAATTTAAAAAATATTTAGATAAAAATTTATTAAAACATAAAATGACTTAAAAACAAAAATTAATATGGTGAAAAATACAGTTAATTTCGTAATCTTATTAGCTCATTTGATATTTTGAGAAATCGAAGCCAAAAGTTAAAAACTCCTTTTTTTACTCGAGTTTAATGGGCATGTTCAAAGGTGCCCCACCCATGGCATTTCACGGAAATTTAAAATAACTTTTTTTGTAATTAATATATATGAATGAAATTACATTAGTTAT